TCTTGTGCTTGCCAGGCAAGTGCTTATTCTACTGCGCTATCTCCCCAGCCCCAAGGCTCTTGGAATTTCCTATGTTGAGTTTGTGTTTGATTACTAACATTACAGCATGTCATAGTTGACTTTCATACTGTGTTAACCCTTTAGCCATGATTCTAACGTCAGGAAGTCATGTCTATTTAATTAGAAGTTATTTCTGTAGTTTAGTACACATATTCATTAGCAAGAGATTCTGCCCTTGATCATTCTAGATTGCTTTTCTGGGAATCACATTATTTTTACAATGTGTCATGCAAATAGTTTTTTGCATTTGATGACCTACCGTAAGTTTTCTAGAAAGAATTGTACTTTATTTTTTCCATTTATGTATAAGTAGATATTTATAGCTCACCTGGCATGTGTCATACAGTGACAGTAGTGCTGGCGATGTAATTGGGAATTAAAGAACCTACACGCCTCCAGGAATTTATATGCTGGTGGAAAAATAGGAGTAAACAGATAAATGGAGATATGATATCGGACGGTGCCTAATGCTGTGAAAAGATAAATCAGCTAAAGAGAGAAGGGAGATGATAGGATTTGAGTAAAGGGAATACTGTGGATTGGCACGACTCACAGGGGACTCAGATAAAAAGAACGGAAAGGTGGCCTAAGGGAAGTAGGGACACAAACTGAGGAAAGAACATCTGAGAAGATGAAAGCAGCTGTTAGAAAAAAATTTGTTTTTTATTTTTTAATTTTTATTTATTTTTTTTGGATTGAAGTCAGGCCCTTGTGCTTGTCAGACAAGCACTTATTCTACTGAGCCATCTCCCCAGCCCTGTTTTTTTATTTTTGTCAATGAAAAGAAATTGGATCCTCTTAAGCTCCTGGCTTTTGTGTCATTTATACAATCATTCTTCCCTCCTTACTTCAAGGCAGTAAACACAGTAGCCTGGCTCACCTGAGAAGTGATAAAATTATAGGTCAGAGAGCAGCATAGTTTGTCTGTTGTCCCCACTGCCCGCAGTTTAAGATCTTCCAAAGGATAGCAAGGCTGTCCCCAGACTCAAGGGACTTGGTGAGCAAAGCTAGGAGTTCGTGTGATGGCCCCAGGAACACTTGATGAGGGCACTCTGTGTTTGTAACCTTATTAACTCAAAGATCATTGGTCTCAGTCAAGATAAAGTTTCCAGAACACCCAAGAAATTTCTATTGTGGATCTTAATTTAGAATGTAAGTGATCTATATAACTTATAAATAATGATACCCTTCTTTTGGTAACAATTCAGGTTGTGAAGTTGATTCTTATTTTTTAATGGCAAGCTATCTCAATCCAGTCAAGCTAATGCAACATACAAAAGAATGAGTAGTTTAAGAGCAGCAGGTTGTTATTTCTCACAGTTCTGGAGGCTAAAATGACCTAGATCCGTTTGTTACCTGGTGAGAGTCCAGTTTCTCATAGATGTAACCATCTTATATTTTCAGACAAGGAAAAGGGCAAGGTAGTTCTCTGAGCCTTAAAAAAAAAAGGCACTGTTCTAATATACAGGGACTCTGTTCTTAGGATGTAATTAGGTTTGAAAAGACCCTTGTCCAATACTACCACAAGGCGTTAGGATTTCAGTCTGTGAATGGGGGAAGGGCTCCACAGTATTCAGCCCCTAGTGAGTACGCTGTGGTCTCACAGAGATGGAAGAAAGACTTCTGTACTCGAGAAGGTACATGTAGAACAAGGCCACCTGCCTCAGTTATTTCTAATTCCAAGAGACATGATTTTTATCAATAAGAGCCAGTTACTCAGATCATTAACCTGAACTGAATGTTTAGTTTAAGCCTTTCGTTTAGCCTAATGGTTAATTATCTCTGAACTCTTTTGTTCTATTAATTTTCCAAGTTTGGATGAGGTGAAAGCAGCTTGCTTTTGTTGCCCCATAAAAGTAATGAGTACAACGAAACAGTTTTATTATTCATATAACAATCAGCATTCTTGAATGTTGAGCTTAGCAATGAGAATGTCATTTTGTACAGTAAGCACATAGCTTTATCTTTACAATATTAATGAAAACCATTTGACTATGACTCTTGAAATCCAGAGCAGTTTACTGTAGGAAATACATAAATAAATACCATAGCAAATCCTACCCCTGCTAGATCCATGAAATGAAACAACTATTGGGGAGCATTGGTTTATTTAATTTTGATTTTTAAAGATATACTTAGCGAATTGATGATTTAGTTCTTTAAAAATAAAGCAAAAATGAAAGGCCAGCCTGATAGCTCAGCAGACTAACGC